GTGCCCTCTAGCAAAACCAAAAGAAAAACAAAACAAACAACAAAAACTAACAAGCAAACAAAAATCAATTGTATTACTTTATGGCAGGAACAACAACAACAAAAATCAGAAAGTAAAGCACAAAAAAGACAAGAGAAAACAGAATAGAGCAAAACAAACAAAGAAACAACTCCATCCCCCAAACCCACATCAAATATGTACAAATTAATCTAATGAAAAAATGTGTAAGCCTTCAATATAAAAAAATACTATTTTAGAATGAAATTAAGTAAGACTGAATAATGGAAAAATATACAATGCTCATGGGTTAGGAAATTAAATACTGTAAAGATATCAGATCTCCCTAGGGAACCAGCAGTTAGCATAATGGCTATGTCGCTGAACTCCCACGTAGTCGACCGCGGTTCGTGTCCCCGACCCGGTGGCTTAAAACTCACGCCGGGCGTGTGTGCGTGCATGCCCAAGATCCTGAGAGGAGAATGGAGGAGAAGGGACTGTGGTGTAACCATCCCCCCTGGGGGGGTGATTTCTCGCTTTCTGTCTCTATGTCTCTCTCTGTCTGTCTGGCGAGCGCGCGCACCCTATAGCGAAAACCTCTCCAAAAAAAAAAAAAGAAAAAAGATATCAGATCTCCCTCAAATCAACCTGTAGAGTCAATGCAATCCCAATCCAAGTTCTCGGATGATTTGTGCTGTCTGATTCTTATATTTATGTAGAAAGGAAAAGAACAAAACAAAACCAAGACAACATTAAAGAAGAACAATGTTAGAAGACTTCCACTACTAGATAATGAGACATTATATAGCACACGAATAAGCAAATAGTCCAGCAGAAAAGAATGAAGTCCAGGAACAGACCCACACATATGAGATGAGCTGATTTATGTCAAAAGTGATTGGCACTGTTTTGCATTAGGGATAGAATGGCCCTTTTAATAGGTGGTAGTGAATCAACAGAATATCTACATGGAAAAAAATGAAACCTGACTCCTATTTTGTACAATATACAAAAGGAAATTCCAGATGAATCATAGACCTAAATGTGAAGAAGAAATCAATAAAGCTTCTAGAAGAAAAATGTTGAGAGAATGTCTTCATAATTTAGTGTTGGGCAAAAATTTCTAAAACAGAATACGAAAAAACACTGATCATCAAAGAAGAGATTAATGAGTTGAATGACATTAAACGTAAGAAATTTTGTGGGCCAGCAGGTGGCGTGGTGGTTAAGGTGTTGGACTCCCACATGGTTGAACCATGTTCCAGTCCTGGACCTGGCAGCTTGCTTTCTCACTTTCCCTCTCTCTCTCTGTCTCTCTGGTCAACTTTAAAAAAAGAATGATGATAATAAAATTTAAAAAAAAAGAAATTTTTGTTTGTCAGCGAATACAATTGGGATAAGAAGGCAATCCCTAGAGTAGTATAAGATATCTACAATACCTGCGTGTGACTATACTTAAATATAGAAAGAACTCCCAAAAACTATTAAGAAAAGAATAATTGACACAACAGAGGTATAGGGAAGCAATTTTAAATAAAATGCTTCACAAAAGAAGATATACAAATTATGAATACATATCTGATGGGGTGCTTGAACATGATAACCACCAAAATCATACATCTAAAGCCACAGTTAAAAACCTATCAAAAAGTTAAAATAAAAGAGACTGACATTACCATGTGATAGAGAGTATGTAAAGCTATTGAAAGTTTTACTCACTGTTGGTGGAAGTGTAAATTGGCCCATCTATTTTGGAACTGTTTTGGCATTAGATACTAAATTTACTAAACATTACCATAGCCTGTGAGCACATATACTCTCAATTTACTTAAGCACATATATTCAAGGAAAGGCACATTATAGTACCACTATTTTTGCAGCCTCAAACTGCAAATGACCCAAATGCCCATCATCAATAAAACAGATAACAAATTGTGGCTTTATTTATTTATTTTGTTCAGAGATACCTTTTGCTGTAGGGCATGTGCACTTGACTGAGAGAGACACAGAAACAGAAAGTGAGAAATCACTCCCTGGGGGCATGGCCATGCCACAATCCTTTCTCTTCTATTCTCCTCTGGGAATTTTGGGCATGCACGCACATATACCTAGTATGAGTTTCAAGCCTCCGGGTCTGGGACTTGAACCGTGGTTGGCCATATGAGTCCAGCAATGTAACCATTACACCATCTGTTAGTCCCAATTGTGGTATGTATATATATATATGCATTGATGAAAAAAAATTACAATGATGTACAATGATAGGGATCAAAATTGCAAATACAATTTTAAGTGAAAGAATTGAGACACAAAAGGATATGTACTCTTTGATTTCTTTTATACAAAGTTAAGAAATAAATAAAACCAATTTGTACTGATAAAATTCAGAAAATCTTTATCTTTGAGGATGGGAATGATTGTTAGGGAGCGTAAGAAGACATAATGAAATGCTCAAAGCTTCCTACCTGTTAATTCAGTTGGTGTTTGTTTTGTGAACATTTATTGAACTGTGTACTTCTTGGTATGTATGTTATTCTTCATTAAAAGGTTTACTTTGAAAAGCTTAGTGAATGGCCCTGTTATGATCGTGGGAAAGGCATGCATGTTCAGTGTCAAGGGAGTACGAGGTGTGAGGCACGTGGGAGCGAGTGGGGGCAGCTGAGGCTGCTTAGAGCAGCCTGCGCAGTACTGCCCAACACACGAGATCTGAACATTCACCGTTCTTCTTGGACTGGGTCACATGTTCTTGATCCTATGAGATTTCATAAGTCCGTGGACCCCCTGACACTGTGTGCATAAACTTGTGTGTGTGTGTTTGCCATAGGGCATGGCATGTGTGCTTGCTGGAGAGAGACAGAGAAATAGAAAGCGAGAAATTCTCCTTCACCTCCACTCCCAGGGAGGATGACTATGCTGCGATCCCTTCTCCATTCTCCTCTTGGGATTTTGGGCACATATATATATACACACACACACACACACACACTGTGATTTTCAAGCTGCCAGGTCCAGTACTCAAACTGTGGTAGGCCATATGAGAGTCTAGGGCTTTAATCATTGTGCCACCTGCTGGCCCGTTGTGTGTGTGTGTGTGTTTCTGAGGAGAGAGCCAGAGCTTTTTTTTTTTAATTAAATTAAACAAAAAATGTAGACATTATTTTTATAGCCACTTTAGGATCACAGTAGAATTGAGCAGAAGGAGTAGAGATTTCCAATATACCTCCTGCCTCCCACAAGCACAGCCTCCTCCTTGGCATCCCCCACCAGGTGGTACATTTGTTGCGGTGAACTTTCACCGGCACGGGATTATCAGCCTAAATACGTAGTTAGTTAGGGTTCACTCTTGGTGGTGTTCACTCCACGGGTTGGGACCTGAGTATCATACAGAGTAGTTCCAGTGCTCCGAGTTCCCCCGTGCTCTGTCTGTTCATTCCTCCCTCCTCCCTAACCCCTGGAAACCATTTTTTACTTTCTCCATCATTTTGCCTTTTTAGAATATGATATAGATGCAATCATACAGTAGGGAGGCTTTTCAGATCGACTTCTTTCCCTTAGCAATATGCATGTAAAATTCCTCCCTGTCTTTGATGACTTGGTAGTTCATTATTTTATTACTTTTTAAAGAATTATTTATTAATGGGGGCCAGTAGGTGGTGTGGTGGTTAAGGTGCTGGACATTCCCACATGGCTGACCATGGTTCGAGTCCTGGACCTGGTGGCTTGCTTTCTCACTTTTTCTCTCTCTCTCTCTCTCCTGTTTGTGTGTGTGTCTCTCTGGTCAAACTTAAAGAAAAATGAATGAGTAAATAAAATTAAAAATAAATAATTCTTTAAAAAAAGAATTATTTATTATTATTACTATTTTTAGAGAGAGATTTTTGCTATAGGGTACATGCAATTGCCTGGGAGACAGAAAGAGCGGCAGAAAGACAGAAGGTGAGAAATCACCCTCCAGGAAGGATGGCCATGACTCAATCGTTTCTCCTCCACTCTCCTCTCGAGATTTTGGGCACACATGCACATGTGTCCAGCATGAGTTGTATTTATTTATTTAAAAAAAATTTTAAATTGGAATATGAATATATTTCTTTATTATGATACTCACAAGAATGAATGACATATTGGCAATCTTCTCATGTAATAAAGAATACATCTGATCCACACTGTGGCAGGAAACAAGTAAGGGCTCTCAGAGCTGGTGCCAACTGTCCATTCCCGAGTGTTTCCTTAGATTCCATCATCTCTGCTGTCGCTTCCAACTAGGTCTCCATGATTTCCCAGAATCCTTCATTCCAGAGTCAGTTCACCCTCTGCCCTTGCCTCTCCTGACCCTTTCAAGACCTAGGTGAGGTGCCCCACGTTGCTTTCGCCCAGGCTGCCTCTGAGATCCTGCAGCACCTCTCTTTGGTATGCTGCTGTTCTGCCACCTCAGGGCCAGGGCTGGGGTGGGAGAGATCGCAGTACCAGACACAAAGGCAGGGCACATTAGGAAATGATGCCTGGACGTAAGTCTAACAGCCTCACAGAACACATACTTCTTCCTCCTCAGGGAGAAAAGGAAACCCCTGGGTCCCTTTAACTTCAGCACGTAGAGAATGATCGAGAATGATCCCGTGTGCCAGGCACATGGATACAAAGTGGATAGTATTTGCTTCCACCATACCCTGCACATCGGAGCAAGCAAGCAGATAAAAGCTGGAACCAGATGTCCATCCCGGCTCATCCAGCCTTTGCCACCACTCTGCTTCTGTCTATTCTGGGTATTAGTTCACTTTGCAAAAGGGAGGATAAATGTGTGATGGTGGAGGGTGTACGGGAAAATGGAGAAAAGCAACCCTGAAAAACAAAATAATACAAAATCCCAGAAACTAGACTTAGTACTATGATATTTTGTAACAACAGAAAGTAGTTGAAAATACTACAGACAAACCAGGATAGGGTACACAAGAAAGAGCTCAGGGAGCGGCCTCAGGTCAGCCGGGAGGGCATGGCAGAGGTGAGGTTTAGACCGAGAGTCTTTCTATGGACTGCTGAACGGACTGGATCTGCTGCTTCAGCTGTGAGCCTTCTTTGATGGTGACGGAACAGGCAATCACAGGCTGGAGACACCACGCCCGCGCCCACCCCAGGGCCTGTTGGGAGTGCACAAGTACGTAGGGCACATTCTTGTCTTCACACCGCAGTGGGAGGTGAAGGATGATCTCCAGGGGCTCAGCGTCTGCAGCCATCACAGTGAACTCAGAGATGCCTCTGTTGAGGGTCTTAGTGGCCTCATTGACTCCTTTCCGAAGTTGCCTGTAGTTACCCGATTGCTGAAGGAGGTCCAGTAGTTTCTTGGTGAGGTGAGCATCTGTGAGGGGATAGGCCTTGGGATTCACATCAGCCTCAGTCACGGCTACGGTTCCGCGAGCTCGTCCTCAAGGAGAGCCGCTGACGTCAGAGCAGAAACGCTCACGACTGCCGAATAGCTGCTCTGAAGAGGCAGCGGAAACGGCCCCAGCATGAGTTTTATGAAGCAGGGTCCGGGACTCGAACCAGAATGTGCCATGTGGGAGTCCAGCAACATAACCATTACACCATTCGCTGGTCCTGATTATTATTTTTTTAAATTTGCTATAGGGCATGTGCACTCAGGGGAGAGAGAGAGAGAGAGAGAGCGAGCGAGCGAGCGAGCAAACAAGCCACCAGGTCTGGGACTCAAACCCAGTTGGCCATGTGTTAGTGCCTTAATCACCATGCCACCTACCAGCCCCAGTAGTTCATTATTTTTACTGTATTTTTTTTTTTTTGAGAGGTTTTTTTTTTTTTTTTTTTGCTATAGGGCACGTGTGCTCGCCAGACAGACAGAGAGAGACATAGAGACAGAAAGCGAGAAATCATCCCCCAGGGGGGATGGTCACGCCGCAATCCTTTCTCCTCCATTCTCCTCTCGGGATCTTGGGCACGCACGCACACGCGCCCGGTGTGAGTTTTAAGCCACCGGGTCTGGGACGCGAACCGCGGTCGACTACGTGGAAGTCCAGTGACATAGCCTTTACGCTAACTGCTGGTTCCCAGTAGTTCATTATTTTTAAAGTGCTGAGTAATATGCTATTGTCCAGATATACCATTGTTTATTTATCCATTCACCCACTAAAGGTCATTTTGATTTTGGCCAAGTTGTGGCAATTATAAATAAAGCTGTTGTAAACCTGCCCATGCAGGTCTGTCTTTCTTTTCTTTTCGTTTTTTCAGACAGTGTCTCACTATGTGCGCTCCTCCTGCCTCAGCCTCCCGAGCAGTTACGACTTAAGGGTGTATGCCATTGCACTTAGCTTTTAGAGGGAACCAGGAGCAGAACCTGATCTTTCCATGTGGCCTCAGCCTCCTGAGTAGCAGCATCGACAGGAATGTGCTACCATGGCTGGGCCCATGTGCAGGTTTTTGTGTGGATCTAAGTTTCCAGCTCATTTGGATAAATACCAAAAAGTGGATCACATGGTAAGAGTGTGTGCAGTTTTGTAAGAAACTGCCAGTCTTCCAAAGTGGCGGTATCATTTTACATTCCACCAGCAATGAATGACAGTCCCTGTTGTCCCATGTCTTTACCAGAACTTGGTGCTGCCAGTGCAGAACTTCTCACTAAATTCTTTAAGGTGTCTGGAATATGAAAAGGTTAAGAGATGACCTCCAAGGTGCCCACAGCTCTGCCTGCCACAGTGCTTTGGCTCACAGGCAGTCTGGTGGAGGACACATTTACACAGGGTGGGACCGGGATGGAGGTCAGGGTGAAGTTAAATACGGCGGACAGTGGGGGTGGGCAAGGCCTTGGAAGGAACCATGAGACCACTTCCCTGCCTGTAATCACCAGCCTATGGCATGTCGGGGAACACGCCGAGAGAAGGGCGAGTGTTTTCTGTGTAGGGATGAGTCCGTCTCTATTTGTGAGCAAAACTGATACAACTATGATTTCATTTTCCTGAGAGCAGCTACTCATTTATCTTTTCGCCATAGAAATTCCTATCTTCTGTAATGTGTGGCTTTGGAAACATCAAGCAGTTGTCACAATGGATCAAGTCATCCCTGAGCACTTGCGACAATAGGGACAGTATGACTCCATCCCAAAAGGGCATCTTTTCTCTTAGGAAAACAGGTCACACTAACCATTTCCATCAGGAAGAATTAGAGGCAAGTTGCTGAGGCCAGAATTTGGCCTGAGGGTTGGCAGAAATCTTTTCTTCTGCTTGAGACATGAAGTGATGTGATTTTTTGGGTGGTGAAATGAATAAATAAATATGTCTTATTAATATTTATTTATTTATTATTATTATTATTTGCATTTGCAGGTTTAATATACTCATTTCCAATAGAAAAAAAGTCCACAGTGTGGGGAGGGAGAGATAGAGTGTGCTGGGAGGGGAGATAGGCTCCACTTTTTACAGTGAGTTGGAGGAGATGACCTTCACTCCCATGGAGCCATGGAGGCATTTGACTGTGGCCATGGTGACTCTCTTTGTTGGGGACTTCAGAATTCTTCTCAGGACTGGAGGGACTTTTCATTAGGTTCTTTCTTTCTCTCTTCTTTCTTCTCTCTCTCTCTCTCCTCTCTCGCTTTCTCTCTCTCTCTATCTTTCTTTTTTAGTTGCTGGAGAGAATGTGTGTTTGCCAGAGAGAGACTGAGAAATCGAGAGAGAGGAAGTCCTCCTCAACGAGTTGTTGCCATACCACTATCCTTTCTCCTCCATTTCATCATCCTGTCAGAATTTTGGGCATGCATACACATGTACCTGGTGTGTGTGTGCGTGCGTGTTTTCTTTTGGATAGTTTTGCTATAGGGCATGTGTGCTCACTGGAGAGACAGACAAAAGCGAGAAATCACCCCCTGGGTGGGGGTATGGCCACACTGCAGCCCTTTCTCCTCTATTCTCCTCTAGGGATTTTAGGTACATACACATATGTGCCCGATATGAGTTTTAAGCTCTTGGGTCCAGAACTCAAATCGCAGTCGACTACGTGTGAGTCCAGCAGCGTAACTATTATACCATCTGCTGGTCCCTCTAGTGTGGTTTTCAAGTTGCTGGTGCTGGGATTCAAACAATGGCTATCCGTGTGGGACCTGCTTCCTTTAACCACTAAGCCCTTCATTAGAATTTTTTCCCCCTAGAGATTTTTGCTATAGGGTGTGTACACTTGTCAGAGAAACAGAAAGTGAGATGTCACACCAGAGCAATCACCCCCCCGAGGATGACCATGCTGCAATCCCTCTCCTCCGTTCTCCTCTTGGGATTTTAGGTATGCATGTACACATGCCCAGCATGAATTTTAAGCTGCTGGTTCTAGGACTTGAACTGTGGTCAACTAAGTGGGAGTCCAGCAATGTAACCATTATGCCATCTACTGGTCCTGCCCTTCACTAGGTTTTAAAAGAAGAAAAAGATTTTACAGTGTTTGAGCCTGAAGCTCACTAAGCCCTTTTAAAGACTGTGAACTAGAGCACATCTCTGAAATTTTCTCCACCTCGATTTTCTCATCTGCAAAATGATAGGATGGAATGACAGCACAGGGCTGTTGTAATGGGAACATCAAGGTGGTTGGCAACCCAGAGCAACCAGCAAGTGGTGGCAGTTCACATCGTCGTAAAAGGCAGAATGAAACAAAAGCCTCAACAGCGAAGACTGAGCTGGTGTGTATGTGAGTATGTGAGTGTGTGAATGTGTGTGTGTGTCATTTTTACAGGGGAATCTGTAAAGCCTGTAGGGACAAGATATTAGAGATGAACTTTGAAGGGGAAACACGATTTTGATGGAAGAGACAGAGAGAAGGCATTCAGGCAGAAGAATAGATCCTGAAAACAGATGTGGACATGTGAGGACACACTGAGTATTTGGGGAATGAAGAGCTGCACATTCTGGTGTGACCAGAGCTGATGATGTGTGCCAGGATGCTTTGGGAAGTGGGAATGTTAAGGTCAGATCACAGGGGACTTTGAATATTTGGCATTTTAAGAGAGGTTCCAATGCTCCATCCACTTAGCATGATGGTCTGGTTTCGTAAATGCGTCAGCAGTAACTGGAGATGGGGCAGGTTGATTCCTGGGGCTTCTCTAAGAGGACACAGCATTATTCCTCTGCTCCGCTGGCTAATTTTATCCTAATGCTAAAGCAAAGGCTAAATTAGACAGCGAAGGTAAATATACACAGAGAAATCCACCAAATTAAAAAATATAAGGGAGGGATTGAGTTGTTAATCATATCACTGCATTTCAAAAAGAGTAGGCTGAGTTTTCCAATGAAACGATGACTCCGGCATATAAATTAATCTTTTGTATAGGAAGAAATGAAAGTCATTAAATGTCATTGTCTTATTTTAAAAGCAGCAATATCCTGCCTGATTGCAAGTGCTTAGAGGAGGATGATTAAACAGAAACCTTATCTTCGCTGTTGCAAGGAGAAAATTGGAGAAAAGTTATCCAATTATGGATGATAAAGCAGAGGAAAAAACCTGAGAAGAAGCAAACTTGGGTCGGCAGGTTGTACAAGAGCACGTTCCCTGGGTACTGTGATGTATTCATTGTCTGCATCCAGGAATACACATAGCCACAGAAGTTATGGCATCGTTTTGGCATGCCGTCTAACACTAGAGTTTTTGTCAATTCTTTCTTTAATCCTTCCCCAAGTTCCTGTTTCGGTAGGTGTTTGCCATTTTGTTATATATCCCTATAGAGTAGACTAAGGATTTCCAAATTAGCCATGGGAATGTGAGTGCCTTATTCATTGTCCCTGGAACTTAGTTTTCTTATCTGCAGATCGGGTCTGTGAATGTCCCATAACAGGTGCCGTACGTGAGCTTGTGCTAGGCTAACTTAGATGGTATCAGGTACACTGGGTGTCTCTGCCTGGCACTGTTGACATCGGTCCCTGCGATGTGTGATGGGGGCCTGTCCTCTTCATTGCAGAATGTTTAGCGGCACCTTGACTTCTACCCACCAGCACTCCCACCCCCTTGCACCTCCTACATGGGTCGTGACAACCCAAAATGTCTTTAGATGTTGTCAAATATCCCTGGGGACAAAAATCGCCCCCAGTTGAGAACCACTTACATAGTTAGAGTATCTGGCTTTGCACTTTGCACAGTCCGTGCTCAATCAATAGTAACTGTAATTCTTACTCTTGTTATGGCTGTCAGAGTCTTCCAACAGTTGCTTTTAAGCCTAATGCTATTGCTAAATGTACCCAATGATGGATGATTTAGGTATTATACTTAGAGTTCTTTATTTTCATTTAAAAACCATATTGAAGTATTTAACTTCTAATTTGGAAATCTACGGTTCTGGTAAAATAAGAGTTTTTCCCGTCTGATGGAATCAATATTGTCCCTAAGAGGTAAATTTTGGATCCTTTATTTTCTAGGTAAATAAAGAGACAGGGCAGGTACCATCTCGGTACACAAAGCACACCTAGTAGAATAAAGCATCATTGAGCCATTATCACATAAAAGGCATCAGGTGGTGTGAAATTATTCTACCAAAATATGCTTTATTAGAGAAAATAATACAAATATTCACTTCAAATAATGATCAGTGTGATTCCATGAATATGAAAACGAGACCAAGGCAATATAGGTACACCTAGCAAAGATAAGGAAGGAGCCCCTTTTTCCCCCCTCAAATATTTATATCTGCCTAGCAGGCATAAATCATAATTATTGAATCATAATTGTCATTTTACTTAGATCATTCTCATTCTCATTATACAGGTATTTTATCACCAAAGGAGAAGTGAGGGGAGAACATAGGGTTTTATCCAAGTCAATCTATGCTGGCAACCGCCCTGCTTGGGTCCACACAGGGAAAGCATCTATGTGAGTTTCCTAGGGTTGCCACAACCAATTACCACCCACTTGGTGGCTTAAAACAATAGAACATTTCTCTTACAGTTTGGTGGCCGCGAGTCCAAAATGAAGGTGTAGGAGGGCTTGTACTCTGCAAATCCTCTAGATGAGACTCTCTTCCGTTGTCTGTGGGCTCCAAGCACTCCTGGACTTGTGGCCACAGTACTCCAATCTCTGCCTTAGGCTTCACATGAACCTTCCCCCCATGTAGCTCTGTCTTTTTCTTTTCCTGTCTCAATATTGGATTTAGGGCCCTTCCTATCCCTGAGTCATCTCAAGATCCTTACCTTAATCATATCTGCAGAGACCTTCAGTCCAAATAAGGTCACGTTCTGAGGTTCTGGGTAGACGTCTTTTGGGGGTCACAATTCAATCTAGTTCAATTCACAATTCTGTATACCATGGTTGTTCCAGGTCTGGCTTTGGAAAACTAATCTGGAGGGTGGATTACCAAGAACACATGGCTAAACAAATCTCTTAGCAAATGGCAGTCTTTCCCCCTTCTCATCGAGCCTTCGGATTTCCTCTCAAAACTGAAGGGCCGCAGGCAAAACAAGTAAGAAGAGTGTTCAAGCATTGCAGGCCCTTCCTTTGGTTCATCTCTACATGGAGCTTTGAGCGTGAACAAAAGACCCTCGGCTCATGGTTATAGCTCCATTGTCAACAAAAACTCCTCACTGCTCCCCAGCTCCTGCTGTGCCAAGGTAGGCCAGAAAGAGAAAACATTCTTCTTGACATCCAAGCACTTCAAAATTTATGAATGGTGGCTGATGAACTAATCAAGATGAAAATTTGAAAATAAATAGTTAACCTGGGAACTAGAAATATCCATAGAATTTGCAGTTGATTTTTCTCCTGTTTTGAGTATCCTTGATCTGTGACTGGAAAAGCTTCCTGGTAAGCATTTCTCTCTTCATGGATGGTTCTTTATTTTAAATTCTCTATTATGTGCAAGGGGTCCCTTCCAACTAAGACATGTTTTTGTACTGTACACATTAAATTAAAATGGAACTCCTCCCTTTCAGTCAAAAACATTCAGTTTCTCTTCTAAACTGGCTTTCACTGTTTTACCTACACCCCTTCTCTCTGTCTTCTACCATCCATCCATCCATTCTTCGACCCTTCCATCCAACTGCCCCTGCATCCATGTTTGTTCCTTATCACCTATTTAGCCATCCCTGCCTCTCTTCTTTCTACCCTGCTTTCCTCCCTCGCTTCATCCCACTTTCCTACCCACACTTCCTCCCTTCCATTCCTCCCTCGGTATGTACACTCCTTCCTTTATACAGTAACCTATCCATCCATGTTTCCAAGTTTCCCCCTCTTCTTCTGTCCAACTGCCCGTCTATTCATGTTCCTTTCCTTCCATCACCTGTCCCTCCATCTCCCCTTCTGGAGTGTGAGTTTAATAGTCACCTACTGTGTACCAGGCACAATGCTAGTAGACTCTGAGGATATAGTGATGGGCAAGGCAGACAAGTGGGCAGGACTAGGTTTTGTGACCTGAGGCTTATGCAATGTGGGGAGCCCTCTTTAAGTGAATAAGCTCATAAGTGCAAAATGCAAGGGTGTTCCCCCTAACTTGGAGGCAGCATGTGCAAGTGAGGAATCCTGACACTTAAGCTTTGTTGGCATCTTGGCAAATCCACCTTTGCAGGTATGGTCTCTTCTCCTTTGAAGCTCATATTCTGGTGTCACTGATGAAGGCTGAGCCTCTGCCAGAGAAGGACTCAGTAGAACTGATTTAAATCACAGACCGTGGCCTGCGAGAATGTAGTCGCGCCCTCTCGGCTTCTTTCTTGTGCTCACCTGAATCTGTACAAGGCATTTCCGTTCTTTCCCATCACTTGTACACAAAGTTCTGCCACTTCACTGGTTTCCATAAAAGGTCCATTTGGAGGACCAGAAGATGGTGCAATGGTAACATAACTGGACGCACATGGGAAGGTCCCCAGTTTGTTTCTTGGAGCCTTCTTGTACACACAGGGTGCATGTATGTGCCTATGATCCTGGCTGACTGAGGCTGGGGGTAGATCTCAGTGTGAAGACCTTACTGGGAATCCCTTTTTATATGCATCTCAACAACAATAGATCCAGACTGGCCTCGTAGCCTCATGGTTAAGGGAAGGAAGTCAGATTCCACAAGGCTGACCATGGTTAGCTTTCACGCTCACAGAGAAGCTTCACATCCCTCAGGGCTTTGGGACCTTAACTTCTGTTCTAAGTGTGCTTGTCGATTAATTTTTCCCAATAAAGAGAGAGTCTCCCTGAGATAAATTCACATGTCAGCTGCAGGAGAATATTTTTTCCATCTTATTACACTGGCTGGATTATTCTGCCGGGGCGAGACTGGACCAGAAAAGGAGAGCTCTATGTTAGGCGCACCCCAGCTTTCTTATCCACAGGAGTGGAAGAAGCACAGGAAGAACGATGGGATGAGTGTCCTGGTGTATGTGAGGCCCCTCATGGAATCCACAGGAACTACCTCACGAGCAATGCAGAGCTCTTCATTTCTGATGCTTCTCTCACCTTGGTTCCCAGGGAGCTAAATCTCCTCAGACCCTGCTCCTGGACTCTGTGAAACCTTACGATTCCTTAGCTGCCAGCTGATTTCCAGTCACGATGCTCAGAAGGATCTGATTTATCTGTGCTCCATTTTGCTGGCGTTATGTTTTGTTTTTGCTATTGTGCTAAATATTCCAACTTCACCAGGGCAGGACTTTGTTCTTTGTTTAAAGCATGCTGTCATCCCCAGGGCTGTCTAGCAATAGCTACATGGCATCAGAGAAATAATAGCAGAAATCAACTCTGTTCCTAAATAGCATTTTTTATCAAAGCACCTTAAAAATACTAACTAATTGGGGACCAGCAGTTAGTGTAATGGCTATGTCACTGGACTCCCATGTAGTAGACCTGGAGGCTTAAACTCACACCAGACGCGTGTGCGTGTGTGCTCAAGATCCCAAGAGGAGAACGGAGGAGAAGGGATTGTGGCGTGGCCATCCCTCCTGAGGGGTGATTTCTCGCTTTCTGTCTCTCTGGCTCTCTTTGTCTTTCTGGCAAGCGCACGTGCCCTATAGCAAAAACCTCTCTCTCTCAAAAAAAAAAAAAAAACTCATTGGGGACCAGCAGTTAGTGTAATGGCTATGTCACTGGACTCCCATGTAGTAGACCTGGAGGCTTAAACTCACACCAGACGCGTGTGCGTGTGTGCTCAAGATCCCAAGAGGAGAACGGAGGAGAAGGGATTGTGGCGTGGCCATCCCTCCTGAGGGGTGATTTCTCGCTTTCTGTCTCTCTGGCTCTCTTTGTCTTTCTGGCAAGCGCACTCTCCCTACAGCAAAAACCTCTCCAAAAAAAAAATTAATTGATAAATAAGATGGAATGCCACAGTTAGTCAGTATACCATGAGCAAAACAGCCACACTGCTTTAGGGTGGGAGTCCTTGGAGAGTTTATGAATGCTGCTTAGTCCGTTGGGTCCATTGGCTGCTTGAGGCATTCTGGGAGTCCTGTGGGTGGCCCTGCCAGCCACTGGGCAAAGTTCAGTGATTCTGTTCATCGTGTCCCACCTGGGGCCCTTATACTTGTGTGACTTGACTGCCAGAGCAGGGTATTTTTCTTCTCCTGTGTGGCAAAGATGGAAGTCCCAAATGGGACCCCAAAGGCTGGAGCAAATGTGAATGGTTCCCGGTTGCTCCCAAACCATGCAACCCAGCTTGAAACTCATGCAAGGTGCAGCTCGGCTTAACCATGGCCCCAGATGGGCATGCAGATGGGGTTCAGTTTCTTTTCACCTTGGCATCCATCCCATGATTCTTCTGACATGCAACCTAGATTAAGCTCAAATATCTTCCAGCTGCTGGACTGACAGTTACAGAATGGCACGTGCATGCCTTTAGAGCCCACACTGAAGGTCACTCTGAATATTTCTTCTTTACAACCAGGGAGGAGATGGATGGCTTATGGTCCCATAGCCAGGATGTAGATGGAATGGCTAGAGCCCCATTGTGGGGACTAAGTTCTGCCTTTCATGATCAACTCCTTATTCTTGTAATAATACACTGTCCTCATCCTAATCTGATCCTTTTATTTGAATTATTAATTAATTAATTATTATTATTTTAATTTTCTATAGGACACATACACTAACCGGAGAGAGACAGAGAGAGAGAGAGAGAGAATGAGAAAGCAAGTCACTAGGTCCGGGGCTTGAATCACAGTTGGCCATGTGGGAGTCTACTGCCTTAACCACTGGATCACCTGATGGCCGTCCTAATCTGGACTTTTAAGTGTAATTTTATTATAAAACTGTTAAAAAAATTGAAAAAAAAACCTAATCCAAATCTGGACCTTTAAAAATAATTTTATTACAAAATTGTAAAAAGAATGGAAAAAAAGCCACTCAAAATGCAACTTCATGAAATAATCCAAATTGAATCTACATGCTAATTCTTAGGAGTTTGCTGGGTTACTATACACAAGTCGAATACGGAGGGAACCATTAAACTATTTAGAAACATTCAATCTAATTAAGGGGTAACCCCTCAAAAAGCTACAATCCATATTTTTAAAAAAGTATTTTCTCGGCCAAGAATCTTATCAGCTAAGCAAAAGTCTGTACAGTTAAAAAGAATGATTTATTATTGTTATTATCATTTTTCATTTTGACCAGAGAGATATAGGGAGAGAGAGAGAGAGAGGGAAAATGAGAAAGCAAGTCACCAGGTTCAGAATTTGAACTGTGGTCGGCCATGGTGGGAGTCTAGCACCTTAACCATCACGCCACCTGCTGGCCCAATCTCTGCAGTTTTTATATTGAGGCTATTTAGTGAGACTACAAATCTGCCTCTCTTATGTCTTACTTGTGTGGACATTCCACTGTAGAGAAACACAATTTGGAACATGGATCCCTCTGCCTGAGCTGTTCTATGAAGGGTCCCATCCTTCCCTCCACACATGGTTGGAAGTCGGTGCCCTTGAGAAAGGCTTCCCTGATGTCTGTAGGCAGACTTAATGGCACCATCCTCTGACCCTCCCAAATCCGTTCCCCATCTGTCCTGGCATCTGCCTCTTCCCTTACAGTGGAGTAACTTGCAGTCCTGTGGCTCCTCCTGGACTGGGCTGAGGCTGGTGTTCTTCCCAGTCTCCCCAGCTCTAGTGCCTCCCACAGGGAGGCCCAGGAAGGACACGTCCTGGGGGTGCGATGGGCCATCCTGGGGGTGTGATGGGCCGTACTGTGGCTGTCCAGTTTCTGCCCTCCTTCGTGCTCGCCCAACCCAGCTGATGGCTCAAATACCTGGGGCCATTTTGTCTCACAGGTCCAGAGGGTGAGCTATCGTTTCCATGACAACCCTTTTACGCGTGGGTATTTGAGGTCATGTCTGCACAAAGGAAGAAGCAAGCCCACGCCACTGACATATATGTTTTCTGCGTCTGTAACGTTTTACGGTTATGTTGCCATAACATCTGAAAGTGAATTTGCTGGAACTCCAGCTAAAGCAACTTCTGCTATCTTCTGATCTGGAAATATTTCAAAGGGTCTGTTTACAACAACCTCTTCTGTCTCCTCTAGAAATCTGTAACTTGGCCTTTTAAATATCTTTACTTACTTACTTACATATTTATATAGTTTAAGGAATCAGAACACAAAAATAGACTGACGCCACCCTGCCTTATTAAATGAGTAACCGGAACAGAAATCTACCTTCTAGATGTTTCTGGATTTTCATAGTGACTACCTATTACCATACGGAATTGTGATGCAACAGGGGGCTGCCCTTGCTAAAGGAAGACTCGGTTTCCCTTTTACATTATATCGACCCTGCCCTCACCCCTGCCAGTCTCCCTCCTGCTTACCAAGTGTGGTGTCATCCTCTTTCATCTCTGCCGATCTGATTGTTAAAAATGATTATCCGCATTGCTTTAGAAGCGTATTTATGTAAAACAAACATTTCCTTAAATTGCAGTTGCAGTGATCAGCTCTGAAAATTCCTTTTTCAAGTCAAGACATGATGTTCTTATGCTTCCTTGACTGTGGGTTTGGGGTTAGCAATTTCTGACTATTGGTTTTCTTCAAAAGAGGAAAATTCATGGCTGTATTTATAAATTTAGACGACGGTTTTCAAAAGGAAATAAATTATGCAAATCTCCTAAAAGTCCTCTGATCTGAAAGTCAACTTGGGCTCTTACCCATTACTCATCTCCTATCTCTCTGCCACCCTGGCTCCCCTTTTCTCTTTGAACACATCAGGCTCCTTCCTGCCTTACGGGCTCTTTCTCCCTCCTCGATTCTTAGAACATGGCTTGGCATAAAGTAGATATTCAGGAGCTATTTGCTAAATGAAAAACGGCTTTCACAAATGTTAGAGAATTGCTGTGTGCCACTGGAAAGTAAGTGTGCTCTGGAGTTCAAGATCTGGGTTCGAGTCCTGACTGCAGCTCTTAGGAAAGTGCTCAGGCGAATTCTGCAACTTCGAGGAACCTCTATTTTCCCCATCTGAAGAGTAGGGATTATAGTCCCCAGGTCTGATGTGAAGAGCAATGGGATCAATAGGCTAATGCGAGTGTGGATGTTGGGGGATCAGCAAAATGCTGCACATAGGGGAGGCATTATTCTTCTCCTATATTTGGATCCAAGGTGGGGAGTCAGAGCAAGATTCCAGGGGGAAATTATGACCCTTTACCTAGCAGGTTATAGTTTATCTTAGTTTTTTTTTTTCTTCTTCAATAAAAGTAGCTTTTGGGATCAGTGTCAGAATGAAAAATGCCACTCCTTGATCATCACTGCTCAACAAAGCTGGCTAATTGAGAATAAGAAGTGGTTACTGGGGACCAGCAGATGGCATAGCAGTTACATCGCTGGACTCCCTCAAGGCCGACTATGGTTCAAGTCCCAGACCTGGTGGCTTGAAAAGCACGCTGGGCATGTATGTGTGCGTGCCCAAGACTCCAGGAGGAGAATGGAGGAGAAGGGATTAGGCATGGCCATTTCTCCTGGGGGGTGATTCTCACTTTCTCTCTCAATGTCTCTGTCTTTCTCTCTCTCCGGTGAGCACACATATACTATGGCAGAAACCTTGTTAAAAAAAAAAAAAAAGAAGTGCTTGCTGTGTGGTTTTGGGGCTGGCCTTAGACACTGCCACCCCACACCCCCAAGAGAAGAGGAGCAGGGGCTCATCAGGGTGGAGCCACCAGACTTCTCTGTGTGGTTGTCCATCTAGACTGCAGCCAGCCAGTGTGCCTCTGTGGGCACAAGTGTCAGCATGTGTCCCGTTGTCTATATCAGGGCTATAGGGGTTGTTAAAGCAGTCAGATGTCACCTGCACATAGCTAATGCCACTACTGAGTGCCAGGCTTTCCAACAGTGTTAGGTACTGCATGGCAAAGGGGGGGTCAACAAGGTCCAGGGAACCCAATGTGCAGACGAGACAGGGTATGAGGGGCCCCCTAAGGACAGCAGAGTGAAGGATGAAAACATGCACACCCACAACTGATGAGCCAATGAGAAGCGTGGGAAGGACCGTAATAAAAATGTAGATAAAGTCCTAGCTCTTTATTCATTCTCCTGCCTGTCAATTCATTCACCTGTTCATCTGACAAAAATGCCCTGAGTATCTACTATGTGCTAGGTACCATGTCTAATGTTGACACCAAAAGGAACGGGACTCACCCCCTCCCTGAGGCTCACAGCTCCGTGGAGACGTGATGCAATGTCGCTAGTGTGATCTTGATGAAAATTGGTATCAGCGTCGAAGTTAGGCAAGGCTGCTCCTATTGGCAGAGTATATTAATTGGAGATCAGAGAAGGCTTTAGGGCGGACTCAAGACAGGAGTAGGCAGGATTCAGGTGGTGGAAGACATTGAAGGAGAAAGGCAGTGTAGCCCAGCAGGAGGGGCTGTGTGAGCAAAGGCAGTAGACCTTGGCGGGCATGTTTGGGGACTAGAGAACTGTCAGTCTGCCTGTAGAACAGGGCATGAGAGTCCTGGTAGAGGAGGAGTAGGAGCAATAGCGAACACCCAAATACCAAGCCCGTAGTATCTACTCCTGCATTTACCCCCACCCTAACCCTATGAAGAAGAGCCATTTATTCCTCTTCTCCTCTGCAATGAGAACAGTGAGGCATACCTGCCCAGGTCGAAGATTGGTGATTGCCCAGTGGCTCTGGGATTCAAACCCAGGTTTGCCTGGGCTGCTTACTTCTCTCATCTGGGGCCACCCCAGCTGTAGGCCCTCAACAGGTGTTTCCCAGAGTTCTTCATTGATGACCACCGTCCTCTCCCTTGGGATGCGCTTGACTCTGGGGTCTCTCTAAACTCTTGGGCTACCCCCAAACACAGCTAAGGGTTCCGTCATGGCAAAGCTAGGAACCCAACCCTAGTATCAGCACCCCCCTGAGCTGTTTCTCTCTCCCAGAGAACACATCACTCTTTAAAAGAATCCTTTCTCCTTGTTACCTTCCCGCCAAGGTTATCTACTCAAGTACATACCGAGTAAATGAGGTTGTTTGGCTTATGGATACAAATAGATACTGCTTTTTTGACTTGCAAAATGAATTCCACCGTGACTGGCTCAAACTTAAGTATGCTAATGCTCAATGAACCAGTTGTCTATTTATTTCTGTTTATGCCTGCAGACCCATTAGCAACTTTTTCTTGTTTTCTTTTAGAATATTAAACGGTTCCAACATATTCTAAAAATTAGTTGATTAGCTTGTTAGGGCACATTTTAACTGCTAGCTCCACTGAACCAAAGGAGAAAATGAAGGTAATTTTGTTTGCAAGGAATGTATGATTCGGAGCTGACTGTTGAAAGATGTACCACGTCAGTGTAATGAGGGAGTGTAATATCTTAGTTTGCATCAGTATGGAAATAACCGTGCGCTTTGACAGACCTGATGCTGAAGGCATCACCAGCCTGCTCATTATGCATTCCGGCTCTGATTATGAAAAATCGTGTGTTTTCTTTTAAAGAGGAATCCACATTATCAATCAAACCACACCAATTATTTCAGAAAGGGATCACAGCGAAGCAGACATGGGGGCTTTTCAACTAGAACAGCGCCTGATAGGCAGGCCGATCGTAAGGGGTGGGATATTTTTATTTCGTGACAGTTGTTAGTATTAATTAGGAACACTAACGAAGTATTTTGTGCCATGGCACCTAGACAACCTGCGTTCCCTGCTATCGTCTGGATCTTTATTATTTCGCTTTAATGAGCCCCGTCTTCAATAATATCAATGCGCTTCTAATGATACCTCTCATCTAGCCCGACTGGCCTGATGTTCTTACAGGGACGTCACACCAGGGAAACTGGAAAGGAAGAGCAGTGAAAAGAGAGACAATAGGAAAACCATAGCTTGCCATGAGCCAAATCGTATCAGAAGTACGAAAACAGAATGAGGCTCATTGCAACGTGAAGTATTTCCTGGTATTGTGTGTGTGTGATGCAACCTATGTGTGGGGGGTATGGTGGATTTGAAGATTACTCACTTATTATTTTTACTCTGACCTTGGAGACAGGTGAGAGGAAGGGTACAGAGCCAGAATCAGAGCTTGCGGACCATCCTTAGGGTGCAGTCACTCTGGACTGCTGTTCTTCACCACTGCTCCCCACTGGACTATGGACTCAATAGGGAGGTTACAGGTCTTGCTCATTTTTGGAAGCTTTCCTGGCAGGTTATCCCCAGGATTTGAGGGACAATGGCATTTGGGACCTCTTTGCCAAAAGGATTCCACAAAGAAAGAGCTTTCTCTTTCTAATGTAAAACCTACATTTAGATATTCTTAAAGAATATAGAGAGGCACACATTTTTCTTGAGCAAAAATAGTAAAAAACTATTAAGAAGCATGGGGGATACAGCTAACTGTGCAGGAATTGAACAGCTCTGGACACAGGTACCTTGTGGCCTTGGGCGTGTTGCATCAGTTTATCAAATCTCCATTTCCTGTAGCAAGAGCCGAGGTGTGAACTAGTGATAATATTCTGAAGGTGCTTGGTGAGTGGACCGCATTCCATTCCCAGCAGGTGATGGCTCAGTCAATGTTCGCTGGGTGAATGACTTGGGGAAAGAATGTGCACTTCTTAGTGATCTTCCTCTGGAGTTGCCCAGCAGCTGGGCATGCTATGGGAGTAATTATGATAGTCAAGGTGGCACAGCAGTGGCACTGCTGGGTGCTCTGGAAAGGGGGCATGCATTCCCTCAATACTCCAGCATGGGGACCAGAGAGAGCCCCTGTGAGGATCATGAGACACATGCACTCACTGAACCCCAAACCCTGGCTTATTCTCCCTGGGTTTCCCCCAAGGTTACCCCTTAACCTGTATCCATTCCAAGCCCATCTTAGGGTGGAGAGGACTTCTACCTGCCCATCAGCTGGTGATATCCCCTGAAATGCCAACGATTCTCTCCTGAGTGGATCATGTGTGTGAGAGGATTCTGTGTTCCCAGGGTGCTGTTGCTTATAGCTGGAATGCAGGCCAGGGCGGTGCTGGAAACACTAGCAGGCAAACCAAGGAGCCCGGATCCTCACCAGCCTGGAGAGAGAAGCAGGGGCTTATTTGGGAAGAGCTAGTGCTGAGGAACTTGAACCCTGATATCCTTGCACAAAGTATTCTGCAGGTCCCAATCACCTGTGCTTATTCATGCCTCCACGGATGCATTTGTTCAAAACACGCGGTGTACACGGTCTGCACAAAGTGTGCGGAGTGAGGCTTAGGTTCTGTTCTCTAGGAACTTGTGGTCTGGGGAGGAATACTGTACTTGTATATAATGCAAGCCAGAGAGGGCTGTCCCAGTGCCACATGTGTTCTAAACATGAAGGGGTCACTGGCAGCTAGGGCAAACCTTAGAAGGCTTCTTGGAAGAGGTGGTATTGTGTTCATTCCATAACGACATTTCGTAATGTCTTGCAGCTTCCTACTTGCCATGAACCCTAGGCTATAAGGTCTCCATTCTTACGGAGCTTACACGATAGTGTGGTGGGAGGCAGAGGCAGACAATGAACAGGCCAACACATATATGGAAGGGGCACTTTGCAGAGTCATAAGTGCAGGCACTCACTTACACAGAGTGTCCTGGGCCTTGAATGTATGGAGCTGGGTCCTTGGAGAAGTGGAGTGTGGGGCATTCTAGGCAGAGTGTAAGGAGGGAGGTCGTATGGGAGGAGCTCCGGGGTGTGAAAAGGAGAGGATGTCAGGAGGGGGACGTGCAGCTGGAGTGAGCTTGGATGCCAGGCTAAGGAATGAACATTTTATCCTGTGGGCAGTGGGGAGCCAGGGCAGTGGTTGAGCAGGGGAGTGGCATGATGGGAATGAGCCGCGCTTTACATACAGCAGAGCGGCAGTAGGTGGGGCACGACTGGAGGTGCGGAGACCTCCAGGGAGATGAGGCAATGTCCAAGTTTGAGAGGGTCAAGGGGCTGAGAGTAGTGTGGGATCGTGGCTTCAGATGGTAAGGTCTGGACAGGTGAAGTGCTGGGGTGTGGTGAGAAGGGAGTCAGGGGAGAGGAGGGCAACAGAGGATGGAACATTCTTGCAGCAGGACCCTGGGCCCCTTCAGAGGCATCTTTCCTATTCCGATCTTACCCAGGCCTGGTGACCCCTGGATGGACAGGTGGTAAGCCACAGTGGGCCGCCATGAAAGCCAGGACTTGGGTAGGATATCTCAGCAGCATTCTCCCTCCCTGGCCATATCTCTAATGTGCCTGAAATAAACAGCTTTTTGATGGGATTGCCAGATTCAGTAAATAAAAAAATACAGACTATCCATTTGAACTTCAGAAAAACAATGAATTATTGTATAGTGTAATTATGCCCTATGCAATATTTAGGATATACTTAGGCTAAAAACATCATTCATTGTTTATCTGAAGTTCACATTTTTTTAAAAATTTTTTTTAAGTTCACATTTGATTAGAGACTTGTATTTATTTTATTCTAATTTTTATTTAATTTTGATTATTTATTATTATTATTTAGTTTTGCTCTAGGGCATGTGCACTCACCAGAGAGAGACAGAGAAATAGAAAGAGAGAGATTGAGAGAAAGTGAAAAATCACCCATCCAGGGGGATGACCATGCCACAATCCCTTCTCTTCCATTGTCCTCTCTGGATTTGGGGCATGCACGCACAAGTGCCAGGCATGTGTTCTAAGCCTTTGGGCCTGGGATTAAAACCATGTGATTGGCCTTGTGGGATCCAGTTGCCTTAACCTCCATGCCACCTGCTGGCCCTATTTTATTTTATTTTTAAGGTTTTGACAGAAAGTATGTGTGTTCATCAGAGGTGGGGCGGGGGTAGAGAAGGTGAGAAACTCCCCCTTCATGTGGAATGGTCATACCACAATCTCTTCTCTTCATTTCTCTCTCCTTTCATGCATGCACATATGCTGGGCATGTTATTCAAGTTACTGGGTCTGGGACTAGAACAGCAGTCAGCCGTGTGGGATTTTGCCATCTTAACCACGTGGTCACTGGCTGGCCCAATCCTGTTTTTAAGGTTATAACTCTGCACCTTGGTAACAATCTATATGAAGTTTCCAGCCACATTCTAAGAAATAATGTTTCCGTGTATGCCCATGCTCATGTGTGTGTGTGTGTGTGTGTTTGTGCATGTGTAAGTGTGCATCTTCCTCGTGGCTGGTAGGGAGATCCCACTTGCTGGATAGTGCAAGCGCTCAGAGGCCTGTGACTTTGGCATCCCTTGTAAACAAGCCCCTCCTTCCTGCAGGCAGCCAGGAAGCCTGTGGGAAGAGAGTCTGGTGATGTCTCAGAGCACTGCCACATTCCAGTGTGCAAACAGCCAGGGCCCCGAATGTGCATAAACGCCAGGCTGTCCCACCTCTGCCACTTGCCCCAGCCCCTGCAAATGGGAACATCTGCGCACACGTGAGGAGGCAGCGCTCATGTAGGGCTCTCCTGAGATTCCCGGGTCCAGTTGTCCGTGATTTGTTCTGTAGGAGAGCAGGATTCTGCCAGGCTTTCAGCTGTGTGTCAAGAAGCCAGGAAAGGTGATTCTGGGGGGCATCAACATGTCCTTGGGACTTGCCTGGGCTCATCTGTCCACTGAGATGATACACGCCAAACGGCTTCTTGAGGCTTCGACCTCTCCTGGCGTGTTGCCATGACAGAGAAGAATGAAAAAGCTACTTTAATAACAGATTCTTTTTTCTTTTTATTTAAGAACTATTTATTTAATTTTATTTTTCTTTCTTTCTTTCTTTCTTTCTTTCTTTCTTTCTTTCTTTTTTTAATTTGGTACAAGGCATGTGTGCTCACCAGAGAGAGACAGAGAGAGGAAGAGAGAGAGAAAGTGAGAAAGTAAACTGTCAGGTCTGGGACTCGATCCATAGTCGGCCATGTGGGAGTCTGTTGCCTTTAACCACTGCACCATCTGCTGGCCCTGATAATAGATCCTTTGATCCTGGGAGCTGCATAGACTGTGAAGCACCTGGCAGTGGGTGCTGAGGGTGGGTGTCTCCCTGACGAGGGGACTCAGCACTGGCATTTCGGGAGGTGGATGATTGCTTCATGACACCAGTCCCTGAAGAAGGCCTTCTACTGCGAGAAGGGGCCAGCTCGAGCCTGCTCTACCAAGTCCCACAGTGCTTTCAGTGAGCCACATGGGTCTTCGCCTCCTCTCCTTTCCCTCCTCTGTTGTCTTGTATGTAAGTGGGATCAAGCTGGACTAGCAAATGCTGAATGTTTACTGGGAACTCCGCTAAGTTATGATGTAAATCCCTAAATTGAGAAGATTTCTTTTAAGAGAAAGGCGGCTTGACGTGGTGATTTCCCCCCTCCGTATTCCAAAAGGCAACACGTTCCAGCGAGGCCACACTCTGGGTGAGTTGGGGCATCCTTGGTCCAGGTAGAAGGGTGGGGCAGGAAGAAGGTGGACTTAAGAGCCCCTCAGACTTGGTGAGAGTCCCCTGACTCTATTTAGGGACTCGATGACTTAGAGGAAGTGCTTGCCCTCTATGTGTCTCTGTCTCCAGAGCTCTAAAAGTACTGGTGATTGGCTAAGATTACTGAACAGGGACATAGACATGAGACGCATGGCTCATCGCAGGCTCCCGCTAACGCGCAGAGCACCTGTGATGTGCCAGGGGCTGTTTGAAGTGCTCTGTATACTCATTTAACTCTCACGGAAATCCTGCAACTGTTATGCCCATTTTGTGGATGAAGAAACAAAAGGCAGGTGCTGCTTCTCTTTCTGCAGGCACTGGTCCATATCCCTGTAAATAAGGGGTGTGGGGGAGGGGAGCACCTGGTAAGTGTCATCAGTGGGGAATTCACTTGGATTAGGGATGAATGGGAAGGCCGTTAGGCAGTGGTGGGTTTTAACCGGGCCCTGGAGGACTGAAAGAATGTTGCTGGTTGGAGATGGGAAAAGAGTGTTTCGGATGCACACTGCAATGGCGAGGGCAGGAGAGCAAGGACTTGTGGGAGGGACGGCCGGTCCTGCTGAGCTGCCGCTGGGTGCAGGCTGTGTGTGTGCATGTGTATTTGTGTATGCCTATATGTCTAGGTGTGTCTGTGTGTCTGTGCATGTGTGCTTCTGTGTGTGTCGTGGTGGGGGATGGAGGTGGTTGAAACTCAGCCAAGCCCTTTCAGTTTCATTCTGTGGAAAGTGGTACTATCTCTTGGGTGCAGACTCTGAACTTAAACCACTTTTTAGCTCTCTATTATTGGATCTGTCTATCTTTTTAATAAGATGTTTTTAATGGCAGTGAAAGCCTGCCCTTTCTGATCAAGATGAACCACAGGACTTGACATTTAATGGAAAACAGGGGCCAGGTCTGCAAGAAAAGGTGAGTGAAGCAGGCACGCGTTCCTGCAGATTATCCTGTAACCGGGGTGGACAGGTCTGGCTTCTGTTGCAGGGACTTAGTCAGGGCTCGGCTGAGTCTATCAGTAGGGACAGCCCAGTCGCTGCAACTGACACGGGACAATGCCGGCAGAGTCAGCGGTTTGCTGACACATCACTCCCATTGGGAAGTTTAAGGGACATGTGTGGAAATAGCTGTCACAGAAGATCAAATGTGCCAAGTGTCCAGAAGGGTGCATGCAAAGTGCTGTGGTAGAGAGGAAGTTGTGTCCCTCTGGGGTTCGAGGGAAAGGCTTTATGGGGCAGATGATCCCACAGCTGGCCTCCAGCGTCAGGTGGCCATTCTAGTCAGTGGAAACTGAGCAAGAGGTGCTGGGCAGATGGGGTGACCATTGGCCAGGAGAGAGAGTAAGTACTGGTGAAACGAGTTTTGATGGGGCAAAGGAAGAAGAGGTTAAAATTGGGGACCTAGTGTGTTCCCAAGGAGGAGTGTTTGTCTAGAGGATAAGACTGTCGGTGTGACCCAGGAGGAAAGTTTTTATCACAGTCATCTCAGGCTTAGCAGTGTCTGAGGACCCAGAGAAAAGACGAGCAAGCAGGTGGGGCAGGGTGCTGAAGCTGTAAGCAACAGGAATGCTGGACTTAGGCTGAAGGAGATTTACTGGAAAAGCACTTGGGCACAGTGGGAAGACTGGGGACTTGGCGGGGAGACAGCACCAAGGAAGCTTGTCGGGGTAGGAGGAGTGATAAGGGACTGCTAGAACAGCCTCATGGCAGGGGTGCTGGGATCTCCAAGACTGGGACTCAGCGAGTGTTTAATTCGAGAGCCCTTGGCATGGGCAACCACATGGGTAATTTCCCGTGAAGAGACTGGAATACTATTAGGAAGGGGGATGGGAGCTGGTTGGCCCCCAAGCTTAACAAAGTCCATCACAGACACCTACGCGGTTGAGGTCAGTGGCCCGGCTGAGTATTGTCAGCAGACAGGTTTTCCTTTGCCCTTGGAGTGACCCCAGACTCTCCATGGGCCTCACAATGGCTAGTGGCATGGGGTTCTGGGCAGGGCTACC